AGAGCAACTCTTTTGTGCCAGCTTTATGCATGCATCACTCTTTTATAACATACCTCTAGCCTGTCCTCTCCTCCCTTAAATTGTTCTCTTAGGGGAGAAAGGTGATATTTTGACTCTAGCTCCCCCACAACACTTGTCTTATAGAACTGAATGAAAAAGAACAGATTTACTAATTTATCCCATACTTTTATTCATATCATTTGCCAAAAATGATTTGGTGGAACTGCATGAAGACTAATAGGAAGGGCCAAGCATCAGTCGATCAGTGGCCTCAGTAGTGGGCTCACGTCAGATCAGCCACACTGCTGGCTCTACAGAACTAGCTTTAGGAAAGACAGCAAGACGAAGGGCAGCGCTTCACTGCTGCTCTTTTAATCTAATTTTTCAAGAAATATTGTTCTTTTTAAACCTGTTGCACTGCAGTCCCAAAGCAATTGTCTTTTAAAAATATAACAGTGTATACTGCACATAGCGATTTTACAGAAACTATATACCGGAATTTAACTAATTGTATCTACAAACCAATGGCTGTTTACAAAAGGCATAAATAAACTAGATGAAAACAGTGTAGGAATGACCTTCATAGCATAGACAGAATCTGAACTAATGACTTTTAATTAATCCTGGCAAACTCAGTGAAGCATGTGCTCTTATGACCTGGGCACCTCAATTTGCTGCTCCACCCAAGGCAGGGAATGAAAGTGGGTATTCTTAAGGATTAACACGAGAATGTTGAAGGGCAGCGGGTATCTTCACCGAAAACATGAACAGCGAGAAAGGACACTGGACATTGTGTGTATGAGATTCCAGAACTGGGGATGGAAAGGCAGGATTTTCTGATAAGGTTGGATCCACAGTTGTAGTTCGCCAACTGAAACTGGGAAAGTGGGTTTGAGTAAAATTATGGGTGAGGGTTGTGCCAGGAGATATCTGCGGGAGTACCTGTCCTCTGAGCTCAGGCCCACTCTTAAGAGTCAGGCTATTTTATTAAGTTATTAACTGTGAAGTTGCATGGTAAAGCTTCAATTTAGGGCCATTGTTATGTCGTATTTTGTGTGTGATCTGCTGAGATGCTGAATCTTAGTATCATTACATTACTCTTCTTCCTCACCCTTGAGATTCGGTTGATTCATTTTACCTATCGAGTGATAAGATGCTGTGCACCTTTCCTTTCCCTAATGACTCACCGCAGCTAGACCACACGCCGACAGGCCCACTCTTAAGAGTCAGGCTATTTTATTAAGTTATTAACTGTGAAGTGGCATGGTAAAGCTTCAATTTAGGGCCATTGTTATGTCGTATTTTGTGATCTGCTGAGATGCTGAATCTTAGTATCATTACATTACTCTTCTTCCTCACCCTTGAGATTCAGTTGATTCATTTTACCTATCGAGTGATAAGATGCTGTGCACCCTTCCTTTCCCTAATGACTCACCACAGCTAGACCACACGCCGGCAGTGCTCCAGTCAAAGGCTTGCTCTGTGCTCTCTTGAGCCCCATCTGGTTTTCTTACTCTTAAGGATCCCCAAGGTGATATCTACAGATCTTTTCGATGGCTATACTGTAGAGTTCAGAGCAGACTTTAGGTAGCCATAATTTTCTTCCTGCCCCTCTGACTTCCGTAGTCTCCCTTGGTCTTTTAGGTGGAAGGTATACAGCAGCTCACTGACCCTCCCAAATCTCCCTAATAACAGTTCCAGTTCTCATTCTAAAGCATTATTAGTGTCCAGACAGAAACATACGGACAAAGGACAGACAGAGCTGGTTTCCCTCTTGTCTTTGCATTGTGCTTCAGTGGTGTTCCATTCAGCTTATGTCTTTGATATCAGACAGGATTATGAAATATTGGAGAGAACCTTGATTTAAAAAAACCCTTCTATATGCCACAGTTTTAATGTTATAAAATATTTAAGTACACACAAAAATTATTCTAAATATGCTAAAATTCCTAAGTCCTACATTACATTTAAGCTAAATACTTTTCTCATTCCAAAGCTTGGTTTTAATATGGCTTATAACTATATGGTTGGCATGGAGACAGAGCTCACTATTGCACTTATCCAAGGCAAACATAACATACATCTAGAGGGACGGAGCAGGTGTTTGTGAAAAGCATCAAAGATATTCATTTATATAAGTAAACAAACCTGCCCCAAAGCGGTGATACCTAAGAGGTAAGACCAAAAATTCCTATAACTTTTCCCCATCCATCAATTTCTCTATTGGTATTTTAACTAGAGGGCACAGTTCTATGGAAAGTCATTAGTCATTTTAGACATATTTTCACTTTATGTATCTTATCACTCAAAAGGAGTTATTACAGATACTCCTAAGAAGACGCTCTTTGTCAGTATATTTTTTGTAATATTTTTGTTATATTTTTCTGGTTCTACTTAATGACAGGTGATAAAAAATTTATGAAAGAATTATCAAGTCAAATTAAAGAAAAATCCTATCTAATTTGTAGAAAAACAAATGTCAAACAATCTAAATATTTTATATATAACTTAAACAATAATTTGTTATGAAGTAAGACGGTAAATAATTCAGTTGGAAACATTTTCTGATTTATATCATCTTTCCTCTTAATTGCAAAGCAAATTAGGATAATTTAGAAGCGTTTGAGTCATATTGCAAATGTGAAAAAGAATTTATATTCCCCCTTTACTGCTAATAATTTATCAATTTCTAAATTGAAAAGGATATTAAAGAAATCTGGTCCAAACTCTTAATTTTCTTATGAGATGAAGGCCAGCTGATGGCCTGCTGTCCTTTCTGGTGGTGACCAGTGGTGGAGTCCGGATGCCATCCAGAGAATTTGTAAATTTTGATCCCCAAAAGTTTTTCGATCCCAAAAAGTTTTTTTCTCCACAAAATCAAATAATCTTTAAAATAAGTTATAATGTAACTCAATCCAACTTTCTGATATTTTGGAAATTGATAGCTACGGGGAAATAGGAGAGTCTCTTTCAAGGATGGAACTATTGATAGGTTAGTGAATGAACCTGCACTGAAGGACACTGGGCATTTGGGGATGCAAACTAGAATCCATAGGCCTTACTCTATATATTAATATATAATAAAGTGCATTTAATTGGGCAGGGGCAATAGGGGAGATACAGTTAGAGGAACAAACCTAAATATCTTCAAATTATATTGTGTGAAAACTGGAAAAGTTCAATACAAATGTTAAAAATAAATAAGTACACAAGTAAAAGTGAACAGTAGTTCAATGCAGAATGAGTTAAACCATTTGGACTTATTACGCTTTTCTGATGCTTTATAAAGTATTTTAGAGGAAAAGCCCGATATTAATAGTAGCATTTTAAATTGGATTAGAAATGTCATTGGGCTAGAGACTTGTCAGCCACCCTAGAAGAGTCCAGCACTATCTCTGCCGCCTGTTCCATGGCCTTTCTCTCTGACCCACTGTCACAAAGCTCATTTTTGAGAGCCTCAGTAAGTTGATGGGGGAGGGGCCACTTCCCATTTCTCGCTGGAGTTCAGCTACTATTGTGATCTGTCCTACCTGGTTTGTAAGATTTCTCACTCAATCTGCACGATTTCCTTGAATATACGTAATGTTAAATATTACTGAAGAGATTGGACAGACAGGAAACACATCTTTACTGCTAGTTAGTGAATTTTATGACCATTGCTTGTAGGTTTAACGTCTGTAGCATAGGAGAAGTTGAAGAATGTCCAAAAATGACTACTTGTCAAAGAGCAGGGCAGACTTACTTATTTATTGTATTATAATTATTATTAGCAACTCTTTAAATAATGTAGTAGCCACTTTTATAGCAATATGACTTCAAGAAGTAATATGCAAACATTGACATTATTACTAAACTAATTTAGGCATTGGCAAAGAAACCAGACTCACATACAAAGTGTTGCAAAGTTCTTGGGGTTTAAGTAATAATTTTAGCTTGACATTATATTAAGCAACAGAACAAAGTGCTTGCTTTAGTCGTGGATTTTTTTCCTCTATATTTTTCTTAGCCTTTCATAGATGAAACAATTTTATCTTTGAGCCCAAATTTCTAAAATCACTAGTCAAGAAGTAAAAGTGTATAAACTTACGGCCCTGATGCTTTCAAAATGTCCACCTTCTTTCTCAAAATCAATAGGTTGTCCTTTTAGTGTCCAGTAGAATGTGACATCCAAACTGGAGTCATGAATGGCTTTGCAGTTGAGGACAATGCTCTCTCCTACTGTTAATTCTGTTCTTTTAGGAGTAAGCTCTATCCTGGTGGGTTCTGTAGAAGTAAAAGTAGATTAATTAACATAATCAACAGGAATATTTCCTCATGTCCTAGGACCGCTTATAGTTACTCCCAATACATGCACCAGTTCCTTTTTTATTATCTTCAAAGCAACCTCCAATGACTGAAACAGTTGCTTCTCGGCAGCTGCACACTTTAGTATACTTTCATAGAGGACTAATGATTTTAGAGTTCCCATTCCTATTTAGACCTGAACTTGGACAAAAATGAAAGTGATTCGAAAACCAGAGCAGCATGTGGCCTTGGAAGAGAGAGCATGGGGATGGAGAAGCTGCAGTCTCTCCAGCCACCTTCATGGCTCTGTGAGTAAAAGGACTTGGACCATAAAATATGCTATACGGATCAAAGAAAGAGTGCAGGGGATTCACTTTCTTAATGTGTAAGAGATTGAACGGCAGGGAAAAGCACCTCTTTCCCAATTAGCCTTTCAGTGGAGCTAAAATTATCATCCCAACACCTTGGGCTTACTTTACACTCACAAGCCTGCATGGATTGAACAGGAATAGAAGATGTATTTTCTGTCTCATTATAAAATACCATTTGTGATATTTTGTGGTTGGCTTAACTGAATTACATAAAATAAAAAAAATGAGTAGAAATGGTTTTGTTTTAGCAAAATTATTTATAGCTACTTAATGATAATTGGATTTCAGAGTGACATTTTTTGGACATTTTTTTATGGGTTTAAAGCAATTTTGTACCAATCAGATCATATCCAGTCATGGATCCAAGGATTAAGCAGTCGTTAAATGATTGTAATGTGATGTATTTTGGAGGAAGTAAGAGGGTGACAGAGACAGGATTTTTTTCTCTCTTCTAATTAGAGTCCTGAGTGTAGACAGTGAAGGAAGACTAGCACAGTGGCTAGCAATTAGCATGATTTTCCTCTCCCAGCTGTATTGTTGGCGAGCACGTCCTCTGAGAATACAGTACTGCTAGCTACTCCTAGCTTTTAAAGTACATTGTCCCTCCCAGAAGCTCCTGTAAAGAAAATTCAAGAGAAGGGGAGGACTGACATTAAGATTGGCATTCTCAGGGCATATTACATCAACAGCCTAAGTTAAGGCTTCATCAGCGAGGGTGGGTATCCATGGTGTACTAAATTTAAAGCTTTGTGAGAAGATAAGTACCTAGTATCCCATCTACCTGGAGATTAACAGAGAATACTTATCATTAGTAAGTTTGTGGATCCAGTATTGGCTGGCTGTGAGAAGACTGAGTAGCTCACAGAAGGAATGCAGTAGACTGGGAGATGGTATTAGATACAAGGACTATAGAATACATTTGAAAACATTTAAAAACTTATATTGGAGGCTGAAGAGATGGCTCAGCAGCTAAGAACACTTCCTGCTCTTCCAGAGGACTTGGATTTGGTTCCCAGCACCCACACTGCAGCTGGCAAACATCTGTAACTCCATTTCTAGAGGATCAGACTCCCTCTCTGGTCACTGCAGGCACTGCATGCATGTGGTATATTTTCATACATACATACAGGCAAAACTCTCATACACAAAAAATGAAAATTTAAAAAATATTCTTTTCTTCCCTTGATGTTTGCCTTTGCTCTAAGTTATGGTACTCTTGACTATTTAAATTATGTCTTTATTTCTAAAGTTAGAGAACGATGAACAGTCTCATATTCTCACTGTGTATTTTTTTTTTTAACATGGAACGTGATCACAGTGTTGTGAATCATCACTTGCGGCCATCTCCAGGATTTTTCTTCGATTTCCAAACCTGAAAATTTTCGTATTTTTATAGACAAAGTATGATCTACTATATTATATATGCACAATGAATAAATCAGTTAAGGATAAAATTCAGTTGTAAAAAATAACCCTTTGTTAATTGATAGACTTTTCCTACCTAAAATAAGATATATTTAAAAATGATTTTTAAAAAAATAATTGAACAATTTATTCTTGGCTTGGCTGGTTGTAGTGGCACACGCCTTTAATCCCAGCCCTCAGGAGGCAGAGAAGGCAGATCTCTGTGAGTTCAAGGCCAGCCTGTTCCACATAGTGAGTTCCAGGCCAGCTCAGGCTACAGGGAGACACTGTCTTAAAAAGACCAAAAAAAAAAAAAGAATGTAGTTGGCTTCAAATCTCGTTTATTCAGAACTAGAAAGCTAGTAAATCCCTGGGCAATAATATTGATCATATAAAAAGTAAAGGCACGTAAAGATCTCAGCCATGAGCATTGAGAACTTGTGGTCCTAGATGTTCAGAGGTGCAACTCAGCTGATTGTGATCCCTTCTCTTGTTGATTCTCAGCTCTGTCCCAAATCACCCATTAAAGTAACAACAAAGGAGTATTCCTAGATGATGCCAAACTTCTTTAGGTAAAACAGGATTGAACCCAAAGCTCCATGCATCCCTGTGTGGAATATGCTCTTCTGAGTCACAACCTCACTTGGTAGATGCAGAAACATATTTTTATATTGTTAACATTCTTTAAATTTTGAGCCCCTGAATAAAACTTCGTAAAAATTTCTTAATCTTTTGTGAATTTTATTCAAAGCAAGATACTCAAATTCTTAAAAATAATGGACTCTTTTCTTATTGTTCTTTTATTTGTTTGTTTATTTATTTTGAGGCAGGATTTGCCACTTTAGTTCAGGCTCATCTCCAAGTCACAGAATTCTCTCCTTTAGACTTCCAAACCTGGGAATCCAGGTGTGAGCCACCAGGTCCAACTTTGTTTTGTTTCTTTAAATGATTGAAAGTGATACTATGGCTATATTGGTTCTGTGTCTGTAATATACTGTAAAACTGAAACACTTGCACTAGTAAATTCAAACACACATACATGCATGTCCTGTTTATTCTCTTTACAAGGTCAGGAAACCATGATTATAAGACATGTCAGGCCCCTTATCTTACCTTTAACAGATACAGAAGCTATAATTTCTGAAGAACCGAAGATGTTTTCCCCTCGGCAAATGTACTTTCCCTCATCAGCTTTAGAGGCATTTAGGATCCGAAGACTTCCGTCTGGAAGAATAGCTATTCTGAAAATTATTAAAAAAGGTTTGTTCCCATTTCACTGCAAATCAACTTAAGGGTAAGAACCTCCGATGAATTCTAAAACTCTTCATAAGGAAACATGAATCAGAAAAGGAACTCTGGGAAAATATGAAACGCTGATACAGTCTATCCTTCAAGACACTATTATGCATTTAGCCCGCTTAATACCTTTTTGCATCCAAAAGAGGGAGAAAGTTGAAGGTTACTTTTCTTATGAAAATTTTTGATAGTTAATTTTAAAAATGGTGGAGAAAGGTGACCCAAACTTTGGTTATTACAACTCGTTACTGTAATAGCACCATGCAGGATTTTAAAGTTCTGGTATTTTACCTTAAACCAAGAGTGACCTATATATATATACACACACATATATAT